AAAACCAGTAAGGAAAGTAGTAAAGTCAGACTGGGCCGACTGATACCCTTCACCACTTTGGGTATATTCTACATATGTATCCTAACAGACGTCGCCTTTTCGAAGGAATACTAATTTCAGTACGTTGTGTCAATACGCCTAGCTATGGGTCTTTAGTGCATTACCTTAAATCGGACGAAACTTGGCACACATCATTCTGGTCCTAATTCAGTACCCAATGGCAATTTTCGTGCAAATCGAAATTTATATAGCGATATTGGTATATAGGGGAGCTATACCTAAATCTGAACTGATATTCACGAAACATAACACACATCATTCCAGACTTAATTTAGTGCGCTATACCCAATTTCGTGCAAATCAAATGTTATATAGGGACTTCGGGCACCATTTACATAAAATCGGACGAAACTATATATATATCTATGCCAACTATTTCGAAACTATTTCTAAATCTGACCCGATTTTCTCGAAACTCGACACTAGGGATAAGTAAATCGATTTTCGACAAATCGATTAATCGACTTTTTGTATTGAAAAGTCTAAAAGTCGAAGTCGACTTTTGACCTTTGAGAAAATCGTAAAGTCGACTTTTCCAGATCGACTTTCGATTTTCTTTAAAAATTCTTGATTTATTATCACAAAGCCGAAATTGTCCAAAAATAACACATTCCAGAATTTTTTCATGTGTTGACAACGATTCTTATAAAAAAATTAAATTTTTAGTCGATTTTGCTTTAGTTGGTAAAAGTCGAAAATCGATTTTGAACAGGTTTGACAAAATCGAAAGATCGAAAAGTCGACTCTTTGGTCAAAGGCAAAAATCGAAAAGTCTAAAAGTCGACTTTTGCGCTCGACTACGTATCCCTACTCGACACACGACATTCGAGACTGAATTCAGTACACTATGCAAAATTTCATGCAAATCGAAAGATATATTTTGCCCCATTTACATAAAATCGGATGAAAATATATATGGGAGCTATATCTAAATCTGACCCGATTTTCTCGAAACTTGACATACTTCATTCTAGACTTAATTCAGTATCCTATTTTACAATTTAACATCTACAAACGGACAGACGGACGGGCGGACATGAATATATCGACTCCGAAAGTAATTCTATGCATATTCTCGAAAGGAACCATGTGCCTATCTCGTTTCCGTTTGCCTGCTACAAACATATGCACAAAGACATAATACCCTGTACCACAGTGTGGTGAAGGGTATAATGAAGTATATTTGATACGACATCGAAATATTGTTTTTAGACCCAATGTGTCTATGTCTCATATACTTTGAGTTGATTTAGGAAAATTTTTCAGTTGCTCTGTATTGTCTGTCTGGTCTCTCGAAGGGAGTAATCATTGCACAGCGTAATATTTCCTCCAAACTTAAATCAAGTTCGAATATAGTTAAGATCGGTCCACTCCTCACACATTTCGCACAATTTTAATTTTACTTTAAAGTCTATTTTTTTTAGATAAAACTAAATTTAAAAGACTACAGGCGGAAATTTATGAAATGATAAAGGACGATATAAAGAGAGGATTTTTTTAAATTAACCTTTTTTGGTTCACGGTCTTAAGACTTTATTTTAAAGGAATATTTTTAGGAGATATTTATATGTTTTAAATATATTTTTGAGTATTCTTTAATAATATTTTGGGAACATCTTAGGCTTCGATTTAATTTAATGAATATTGTTTAGGTACTTTCTTAAGCGTGGATTATAAAAAAATTATAAAAAAATATATTTTTTGAAAGCGTGAATTTCTAAAAAATATTTTTTTTTATTTGTCAGTGAATATTTTTGAGGGACATTTTTAATGAATATAATTGAAGGTCTATAACATATTCCATGGACAAATAAATTTATGTGGATGCAAGAGTCCAAGATTTGAATAAATGAATTTTGGAAAAATATTTTGTCAAAAATTTGTTGTTATATAAGCTTGTTAACACTGAAAATAAAATTATTTTCAAAATTGAATATGAATAAGTATGTGAAAATATGGGTTTCAGAAATTGGGAAAGAGATTTTTGTTATCCATATTTAAAAATATTTTTTAGGCTGTTCGAAAATATCGAACATTCGGATGACCGATGCGGAGCGATAAGGGTTAGTTGATCGATGAAATAAATATTAGAAAAAAAAGAACACAACTTTTTTTCAGAACAGAAGAGAGCAGGTACAAGAGTCTACATGTTTGTGGTACTTCCATACCACATAAAAAGGCAGAAAATCGAATATTCAGTACCTCTGTAAAATTTCTTTGGATTGATTAGATTTTTTATATCTAAGCATTCTCACTGATATTATTTGTGGTATTTCACCTCATCCTCGTTCTCAACATGAAAACCTCCACCCGGCTGGACCACATCTCGGCCGATGACACCGTTCAAACGTTCTGGCACAGTAAATATGGAATAAATCCAGCAATAGGTATCCATTACACCCAAGGGGATTTCATCAACAATACAATCAATGGGATCACCAATATACGGCCAGGAGGTGACCGGTGGGGAGATGGAAATTAATTTGATTGATCAACCGATATTTTTCTTTCAGTCTCTTCACTATAAATCGAATCAGATCGAATATTTATTTTGCTTTGGAATCGGAGTCTAGACTTTTTGGAAAGTTTGTTTCGCTTGATATTGAACTATCATTTCTCACATAGAGAGGGTTCGATATATCGGAACATTTGTATTTTTCCCCTCTGCTCAAACGAGCATACTATCAAATGTGTCTATTTCTCAGAGAGCATGTACTTTTTTCCCAAATGGAATGTTCAAATGAGCCTACTATCAAATGTGAAAATACATAATAATTCTAAGAAATTGGAGAAATTCGGCGAAAAAGGTATAATTATTATTTCATATAGTCATTTGGACAACTTTAGCTGTAACCGCTCGGGATCTTTAAATTTGGCGGGCAATGCCCTGGAAACATTTGGTAGGAATAATGGGGGTATACTAAAATGTGGACCAAGACTGATAATTTTTTGTAGATTCCCACCCAATGAGAGTTCAAAATGCCAATGGACAGCCAATTTGTTGGAAAAAATATGCAAAAACTGTGTAAAATACCAAAATGTGAAAGGTACCGTTATGTTCGAAATTCCGAAGTATCGGTATGACAAGTCTGTTCAATATTCCCGAGTATATCCAAAATATGTAAACTAATTTCAATTTGTCTCATCAAAAACCTATCTCAATTTGTCTACTTCTGGAAACAATTTTTCTGCTATTTATCTATCTATTCCCTCTTTCATTATTTGTATGTTTTTAATGAAACTCAAAACCTGTCTACCATTTTGTTGTTGAATACAGGTAGCCCTATGGACAACAACCTGTATTACGTTTCTCTAGTTTTTTCTTAGTTTTTCGTTAACTGGGCTGGCTGGTCAAAGTGTGCTTGCCTGTTGTATTACTTTCAACTAGTTTTGAAGATCTTCTGTCCCTGCCCAGCCACTTAACAAGAAGATGAAGAAGCCTAAAAGAAACACAGAAATAAATTATCTTTTTGTGTTGTTGTCCCAAGAAATATTTCTACAGCCACCACCATTAAAATGCAAATAGCCATGAACTTGTTTTGGATTTTTTGTTAACCTTTTTTTTGGGGTTGTGGAGAGGGGGAAGCATTGAAGTTAAAACCAAATCACAGTTAAAGAAATTCGTATATTGGTCTCGGTGTAGTTGTTGTTGCTTCGGAGGGATCCTATTAAAAAGAAGCTTGTTAAACCTGTTTTTTTTTTGTTAAATGGAAGACGACTATCGAGAAACGGCCACGACACGGCGTGTAAATATCTTTTTGGTTATAGATAATTCACCTGGAAACAAGCTGAACTGAAGCCATACCATTGTATGGGTATTTATGTTTGTGTGTATATGTATGGGTGTGTGTGTGTGAAGAGTCTTCTTTTATTGTTGTAACTAGTTATTTATGTATTCTGATCAATACATTATGTAGATAAGTTCGGTTGCTTGCTTTTGTTGGAAAAAGAAGTGTGGCAAAGCGCATGCGCAGCCATATTGAATTTTGGTATTGGGTTTCGTTTATAGGTAAGAATGTTTGTCTGTCTGGCTGTTTGTATGTACATGGTAATGCATTATAGGGTTTCTTCGAACATAAAAATTCGATAACAATAACCAGCAAGCTGAGGTTGAATTTCGAAATTTTTCATACTTTCTCACTCTCTCTATTTCCCTCGTTTTCTCTCTCTCTCACTTTTGTGAGATGATTTTTTTTTTTTTTTGAGATGAATTTCCTCTTTTCTCTCGCTTGCTCCCTCGGTTTTGTTTGCTTTTTAACTCAAATAGTTTGAGTGAAGTTTATGCATATCTCCCTCTCACTCTCACCCTCTCTCTTTTCGATTTGGAGTTTGAGTCTTTTTGAAGACTGCATGAGGAGGCCTATTTCTTTTTTGGGTTTTGAAAAAATAAAAATTTTGGATTTTTTTGTAATTTTTTAAATTTTTTTTGTTAAAATTTATACAGTTTTTATTAGGATTTTTCTTTTTGTTATTGTATCTTAATTTAAAAAATAGTTTTTTTTTTGTGGCATTTCGATTTTTTCTACTAATAATTATTTATATAAAAAATATAGCATTTTTAAAATTTTTTTGTAAAAAAAATTTGTTATCTATTTAAAATTGTTGTTGTTGTCGTTTTTCGTTTTCTTTTCTTACTTAATACTTCTAACAAAAAAATAATAGAAATAATTATAAAAAACCTCACAGCAATTTTGTGATATTTTTTTCATAGCTTCGTCTTTTTTTCTTCGTCTTCCCCTTTTTTAAAAAAATCGTCGTTTTTATCGTTATCTTGACGTCGTTCCCGCCCGTTTTTGTTTTCGTTAAAGTAGTTGGGTTTTGTAAAAATGTCTTTAAATTATTTAAAAAATAATAAAATATTGATATCAAAGAAATTCTTCATACATATTTCATGTTGTGGTTGGTTGTTGGTGGTGTTCGTGTTGATGTTTTATTTTGATGATGATGGCCTCCTCCTCGTTCTCGCTTCTTAGGGTTCCATGCGTTGCTTATGACTTGTATTAACACCCAATTCATGTGAGAGATCAGCTATCACTTCTTTGTAGATTAGGGGATCGATATTTTTACCCAATTGATAGAGTAAGAACCAATCACCGATATTGCATTGTTTGGCCACAGCCTCAACTTCATCGACTTCGGCCAAGCGGGAGCGGGCACGCAACAACAAATGTCTCAATTTGGGACCCATGACAACGGCAATGCGATAGACCAACGAGATGCCGGACAATATGGACAAGATAATGAACCAGAACCACAAGAACACGTAGATTTTCTCGTTGACAATGTTGAGGGGCAGCACACAGAGACCATCGAACTTCTGCACCGAACCGGAAGGACCATATTTGTGGAATGTACATTTGGTGACTTTGGGAAAGACACGAGCCATGGGATCGATACGCTCATCCGGTTCCATTTCGGTGAATTTCAAGACATCACTGCCATAGGTGGAGAATTCACCATCCAAAAAGAAGTCCACGAAGTAGATTTGTCCGATGACGTTGATGAAGTTCAGCGCTTCGCACAGGAAGAAACGGAATGCATAGAAATTGTGGCGGTTCAAATTGTCCACGAAATACTGGACCAATATACGTTTGCGATCTTTTTTACACTCGTCATTGACAATGGGGCTGTTCAGGTCCATGACCAACATCTTGAGACGGCCACCTTCCCATGATTTCCAGAGGTAACGTGGCACATAGAACAATATGGCCTGGAAGAATAGCACAAAGCACACCCACTGATAGTATTTGTGGTATTTCACCTCATCCTCGCCCTCAACATGGGAACCCACACCCGGCTGGACGACATCACGGCCGGTGACACCGGTCAAACGTTCTGGCACAGTAAAGGTGGAATAAATCCAGCAATAGGTATCCATAACACCCAAGGGGATTTCATCTACAATACAATCGATGGGATCACCAATGTACTGCCTGGAGGTCACCAGCAGGGAAAAGGCAATCAATATGATTACCGTCGCCTTGTAATGCATACGGAAGACATTGTTATCGATGCAGACCTGATCGATTTTCAGCAGCCCCTTGACGGAGCCAAAAACATCAAACATGGTGCCGGTTGTTGTGTATCAAAAATTCAAAATGACAACAAAGATCACAGAATAGTTTCTCCTCTTTTGCACAAAAAAATGATCTTCTTTCAGTCTCTTCTTCTTCACTTCCGCCAAAAAAACTTAGTTCGAATTTTCGTTTTTCAAATTATTACGCGAGACGAAACGAAAACGAAACAAACAAACATAAAATAAAATAAACCGAAACCGGGGCTGTTCACTTAAACTTCATAATAATGCTGGAGGATTGGCAAGCAGCAGCACATTAAAAAATTTCGTATATTTTTCCCGAAAATTATTTTAGAACTTCACAAAATTATTCTCTAAAACGAGATAATCATTTGTTGTGGCTGGAGATAATATTCACTTATTCTTTTTGTTGTTGTTTTTCTTATTTTTTGTTTATTAGACGACGTTAGACGGACGCTATGACACCGTCACTTAAACGCTCTGTTCGAATAGAAGATTTCAACTGGTTGACTGGATCTCCAAAGAGTGGTTATTCGGCTGTTTTACTTATCACACAAATTGAGTGGATTTTTTTCGTAGTCTGTTGTATGTGTGGTGTATGCTCTCAACTCTCTTGTACTCAGCGAAGCTAACAAAATGAAACTGTGTGGGTAATCGGCAGAGAACAGAGGTTTTATATTTTTTGTATGTGGTGTTGGTGGTGGGTAAATGTGGCTACCTAACTCAGAGCTCTTCATCAACATACAACAGGTAAAATGCACTCCTTTGGTTCGAACGCACACACACATACCCAGCATTCATTTGCATATGTGTTTGTGTAGCTTTGTATTTTCCTGCCTGGCTGACTGGCACACTCATCCTAATCTCATCTTAATGTCTACTTATATTGCATTGCAATGTATCTGTGTGTTTTTGAGCCGCGGGTTTTTTCTCACATTCTCCGTTTAAGTCCCACACTTCAGGTACCCAATGATGATGCCCCGCGATGTTTATGTTTTCACCATGGCTTGGGTTATTTTTCTTTCTTGGTGTACATACACACGGAAAAAAATTTCCTCCACAACTCATCTTTCCAATATGCATTGGTGTTAGTATTGGTGTGTGGGATGGATCATGTTTATGGGTTGCATTTCCAGTGATGCCCAAACCGTAGTTCTCTCTTCAGCTAGGTACCTGTCCCATAAAAGGTACTAACTTCTAAATCCTGTTATGCTTAATAGTGTGACAGGATTTACACTAACACATTAATTATAAGATACGAGGTTAGACTTTTCTATATGGCCAGCACTAATGAATTCCGAAGAATTGGAAATAGTACTTCAATTGTTTGAAGGTCAAAGGCTCTTTAGTGTAAAATTGTGTATTTATATTATTTGTTTCGATTTTCAATATTTAAAATGTTAACTTTTGTAAAATTTGCTCTATTTTGGGCTCTATATTTTTGATAAGAATTGATTTTTAAAGCATTTGGACTATTAACAATCAGATCTCACCTGCTGTCAAGGACAAGGGTTCTAATTTGAAACACACTATTGTGACATTTTGAAGACAATTTCGGAATGATGAGTCTTAAAATCGTAATTGTAGGAATCAGTAGTGCGGACCAATTGGCCCCATCTACGCATTTATTTCTAAGCATGGCATAAATATTAGTTTTGAATCAAATTTCGCTTCAAACGAGTTTGGGGAACACCATATCGAAAGCTATAATGAAATTACTAAGTTTGTTTTGGATAGATCACCTTTAAACATGTATTTTAAAATATATACATTTATACAAATTATATTTTGAGTTCCTACATCTAGATCATTTCCTATGTGGAACTAATATAAAACATACCAGTAAGGGAAGTTCAAAAGTCGGACGGGGCCGTCTATATGATACCCTTCACTACTTTGGGTACATACAAAAGATGCATTGAAATAGAATTGGACGAAATTAACCTGGAACGACTTTAATCCAATAAGACATACGATATACATAAAATATGACAAAAATAAATGTGGTAGCTACATCTACATCTGAATCGATTTCAACAACAAAATATCGTGCAAATAGAACAGGACTATGATGCACCATTTACATAAATAATATGTGAGATATATTAAACTCTGACCCTATTTCAAGAAAATTTCACGGATGTAATCTTGTAGCAACTTCAATACGCTGTGCAAAATTTTGTCTCAATCGGACAGACATGGGCAGCATTAGCTCCATTTACATAAAATCGGAGAAACTATATATGGGAGCTATTTCTATATGTGAACCGATTCCAACAAAACTTTGCATACATCGTTTAAGACCTAATTCAGTACTCTGTGCAAAATATTGTCTCCATCGGACCAATATTGGGAGTTTGGTGCACCATTTACATAAAATCGGACGAAACTATACATGGGAGCTATATCTAAATTTAAACCGATTTTCTCCAATTTCAATAGGGTTCGTCCTTGGGCCAAATAAGTGACCTGTGCCAAATTTAATCCAAATCGGATCATAAACGCGTCCTGTACTTTGCTTACAAAAACGGGCATACATAAATCGACACAGAAAGTCATTATATGCATATTCTCAAAAGGAACAATGGGTCTATCTCGATTCCTTTTGCCTGTTACAAACATATGCACAAAGACACAATGATAATCTTAAAAAACAGTATTCTTTAATATATATATATATAGTACCATATAATACTTTTCGTAAACATGAGTACACGATTTCAAAACCACCTCCTTATATCGACTCTACTTCTCAACCTTAATTCGCATTCCAAATTTCATGATTCGATCTCTAAAGGTTCTCCCAAATCCAAATTTTACCTAACATTTAAATTTCAGGATTCCAATTGGTTCCCCTATAATTTAAATTGTACCAAATTTAGTACACAGTAGTACGAAGTTCCAAAACTTCCTACTTAATCCAAACCTACACCGCCACAATGATCCTAAATCCAAGTTTCAGGACTACAACTCTATCGGTTCACCCACAATTCAAATTGTACCAAATTTAGTACACAGTAGTACGAATTTCCAAAACTTCCGACTTAATCCAAACCTACACCGCCACAGTGATCTTAAATCCAAGTTTCAGAATTCCAATTTTATCGGTTCACGCACAATTTAAATTGTACCAAATTCAGTACACAGTAGTACGAATTTTCAAAACTTCCTACTTAATCCAAACCTACACCGCCTCAGTGATCCAAAACTTCCTAATCCTACTCTCCGGTGGTAATGTGAATTTTAAATTTCAGGATTCCAGTTCTATTTGTACCTCCAATTAAAAATTGTACCAAATATAGTACCATATAGTACTTTTCGTATACATGAGTACACGATTTCAAAACCTCATCCTTATATCGATCGCACTTCTCAACCTTAATTCGCATTACAAATTTCAAGATTTTTGGTCTATCCATTCACACTCTAAGAAATTGTACCAAATTTAGTACATTTTAGTACTTTTCGCATACTTTTAGTCCGAAAGTCCAAAAAACCCTTTGCTATATATATTCTACACTCCATCAGTGACCCTCATTTAATATTTAAGAGTTCTAGCTCTACCGGTTCTCCAAATACAAATCGTATCACATTTAGTACTTTTCGTACGTTCTAGTACGAATTTCCAAACCCCCAGCCTTATCTGTCACCTTTGGACCAAGAGTGACCCTCAGCCAAAATTTCAAGATTCTAGTTTCAGCCGTTTCGTCTGGGCGTTGATGAATCGTTAAATCAGTCAGACAGTCAATCACTTTACTCTTTTATTAGTATAGATTGCAAAATATAATTCAGAACGATTAATTCCTAATGGAGTAAACCTGAGCATCAGTCGGCAAGACAGACAGATGGATTAACGGGCAGTTATAAATCATCTTGAAATGGTATGAAATGGATTTATTGCAAAATAACTTGGATTCTAAATCGATATTTCGCAGGGCACATATTCTTATCGTATCAATGTGAATGGGGATTACATTAGCCTACAGACTGAGACAAGCAGATTTTTCCCGATTTTCGCATAATAATTGTGGCTCGTACAACAAAATAATATTAAATTCCTAGAATTAAATTTCATGCAAAATTTAGTGAAGTTCGGTTTTTAATTGTGCATATTTTGAGTTTGGATATATGTTATAATGGACAGATCGGTTATGATTACTTTTTCGAGATGTGACGTAATGTTTCTGGGGTCTAGTTTAATAATTATGACGTTTGAGCCTATGTGGGTGTATGTATAAAATATGGGCTTGAAATTTATATTATGTTTTTTTCAGGTTATAATACGTTCGAAGATTGCATATGAATCATTTTTTAATATTTTTGGTCTTGGATCGATAATATGATTTATGAAAATAACATATCCTCTAGGTCCATTAGTCATTATCGTTCATTTCCAACGTATATATCTACATATATTTGAAATATTATTTTTTATAAATCCCATATTTTTATACCCTACAGAACTATGTTGTCAGAGTATTATTGCTTTGTGCAGCCCCAAAAGTTTGTAACGCCGCGAAATATTGGTCCTAGACCCACCTTTAAGTATACCGATCGTCATATCTCGACTAGCTGAGTCGATCTAGACATGTGTGTCCGTCCGTCCGTCTTATTATAATTTATAAACACGATACAGGCCACAGTTATGGACCAATCTTCACGAAATTTTGCATGTAGGATGGGTTCTGGCCACTGAAGACGACCCCTATTGTTTTTGGTAAAGATCGGTTAATATTTAGGGGATGAAATGGACCAAATACTAAATTTTTGTCGGTTTTTTTTGGTCGCTCCAGAGACCGCAGTTATGATCAGAACATCGTAAAATTTTACATAGAGAAGGGGATCGGACCTATGAATAATGCTTATGTTTAGATAAAGATCGGTCAATATTAAGAGGGTCAAATGGACCCTGACTTTTGTCTGAAAAATTACAAAATTTTTATTCTGGGGGGTATATACTTGCTCCTGAAGGACATATACCCGAGAAGTTGATAGTATATCCAAGAGGAGTTGTTGACCTTCAAATTGAT